TATAAAAAAATATAATAAATAAAAATATATAAATATAGGTGTAAAATATATAAAGGCACATAAGTTTTTACTACTACTAATTAAAATAATACGAAAATTGTAGTTTTACTTTTGAAAGACGATTTAACAAGATAATATATTATCAGATTTATATGTATATAATTTTATTATTCTGAAATTTTATTTATATTATTTATTAATCTTATTTTTTATCATTATTTGCTTATATTTTACATAAATCATATTACGGATATTATTTTTATGTAAATTTATCCTTTGCTCTTTTATTTATTTAAATTTATATTATTATCTATCTATATTACTTGATGTTAATAAATTAGCAGTTGTAATAATTATTGAAATTAAAAAAAAAAAAAAAATATGATAAAATAACACATATAGTAAAAAATTCCATTTAAAATTCAAAAGATATTAATATTCCTATAAAAAACTTGGTGTACTTTGTTATTTCAAATTCAAAACTTTCTATAATTACTGCAAAATTTTGTCAAATAATTCGTATATATGTTTCATTTCCAGTGAAATGTATTTATATTTCTTTTCATCTATCTACAAGTTTTGATTCACGGTATCTATTACACATTAAAAACATCCAATCCCAAACAAACGACATCAATAATTATGTTTCCCAGGATTTGCGCCAGGCCGCCTTTACGTTAACCTGGAACGACGCGTCGATTCGGGTTAAGAAAAACGTCCCCGATAGGGTTAAGTAAAATATTGAATTTATATGTATAATCACAAAAATATTGAATAATATACACCGGAATATTGAAATTTAATTGTAAATGTTATTTTATGATAATAAGGTCTTCTTTAGTATAGAAATTAATTTAAATTATTGATTTCACCATATATATATAAAGTTTTCGCAAAAAAATCTATTTGTCAAATTTCAAAATTATCTTAGTCATTTAATTGTAATTAATAGTTAAAATTTATATGTTTAATTATTAGATTAATTTTTTATATATAATTTAGATGTTTACAATATAAAAATGAAGTACTTTCAACTAAAGTTGTATACATTATTATACAATTATATGTTTGAAATTTAATTGATACATAATAAAGGTAAGAACAACAGTCGAAAAATTTATATTTAAAATAATTTTATACTAAATTCATAGATTTTGTTTAAGTTAATAACATACATTTGATTACAAAAATTATGAAGGATAATACATGTAATAAACTTTAGTACACACTTTTTGAATATTTTTTTGACAGATTTTTAGAAAAATCATATAAATCTAAATATATTTTTTATATCATAGGAAATCTAATAAAATTATTTTTAATTGTACATCAAAATAAAAATTGCATCAGAACAAAAATTATACTACAAATTTTCAAAAATAAAGTAAACGTACTAGATATTAGGTTGTCAAATATCTCCCTTCCGCTTTTTTGCTCTGGTTTATAATACAAAAAGCGGAAGGGAGATATTTGACAACCTTATATTTGCGTTGCAAAAAATGTTTGGATTATTAAAAATCAATTGTGGATGTTATTTTATACATAAGGATTTCTTGTATAATAAATTAAGATGCAGAAATGATTAATTTCATATAAATGC